CAGATCCGAGAGCCGTGGCACACTACAGCCGATCCACGGCGTGGCGCGAACCAAGACTGGTTTAAAAATAAGATTATTTACTTATGTTAGTGAAATAGCGTAAGTTATTTCATTTACCCTTTTCCAGGCCCGGATCTGCAGTTAGGCACTTCGTTTGCCCTCCTGATGGTATCTGTACCTGATTTAGTCCTTATTTCAACAACTGCCACTAGAAATAACATACTGTAATTAACTACCTTACTCATTTTAATTACTAAAATAGATAAATTAGGTTCGGACAAACGAGCTTCGGACAATCGGAGCCGTCTCGCTTGCATGTGGCAGTAACGGTGTATACATAGGGTCGTCTTAAGGTATGTCCAGATGAACAGTGTATTAAATTTACATCAAATAAATATGGTTTATTCTATCATCAGTAACTTTTCATAGAAATCATAACAGTAATTTATAATTATTTGCCTATTAAAGCTATTCTGAATAATCACATATTACATTAATAAAATATATTCTAATGTTCAGCTACATAGCACTTTTGCCTTACTGTACTTTAAAAAAAATACTAAGTCTCTGATATCACACAGACAACAGCACAGCACAAAACTGTAACTGACAGACAAGAATACAGGCGACTTGACCCCTCTTTTAATTATTTTCAAAATACACTTTGGCTGTTTTTTTCTTTTTCTTTTACATTAGCAGGAATAAAGTCTACACATCATTTTTTAAAACATCTTTTAAAATACTGCCACTACTACGTCCAGCAGGCAATGGTGCGAGAGTAGGTAGGACGACTTCAGAGAGTAAGGGAGATTTTCGAATTGGACTCTCTCCTGGACCAGTGCTAACTTGTGAGTCCTGGGACAAAAAAATACCTTAGATGGCTATCACTATGCGTAATAATTGATAGAACTTCCTAACTTCTAGGAATTCAAATACCTTTCTTTTAGATGATACAGATGTAGGACTTGCTTCTGGTAATAGACGAAGTTGCATCTGGGGTCTTGATTCACTCTCCAAGAATCGAACAAATGCTTCAGATAAGGACTACATGGAAAAAATGCATAAGATTGTGTTAAAGCCTTACAAATCATAAAAACTTTAAAACAGGAGAATGATGGAAAATGAGTTAGAGGTTGTATGATTACCTGCTCATTTGAAGTTAACCCCTGCTCAAGACCCACTCGTTGTCTTTCATCATGGTTGAAGTCAAGAACAGATGCCACAACTCGAAGGGCAGGGCTTCTTGTATTTGCTGGTGCAGTAAGTAAACCAACTACAAGGTTTTTCACAAGTGATCTGAAAAATTATACTGTGTTAATAATAGCTCTTAATCTAGAGATCATTAGGTGCTTTTTTTCAAATAAAATTCATTAACTTACTTGTCAACTTTACCCTCGACACTCTGACTTGCAGCTTGGATTCTTTCGTCTGCAACTTTGAGCTCCTTTTGATGTTGGTTGACTGAAAATGAACAAACATACAATCCAACCAAATTAGTGAAACTGATGAAAACTACACAGACTTCCACATTGACTTGTAGGTTGGAAAGGTCCATCTTTCTAACACAATTACAAGGTAATGAAAATATTCCGAAAGGATTTTGAAACTGATAGCTTAAGTTTTTTTAATTTTAGGGTTTTTGGGGGCGGTACTGTTGAGAAAAAGATCCATGCATTACAAAAAAAATTGTAAGTAATTTTGAATATTTGGATTCAAGAGCTATTAACACATAATCAATTGTCCACAAAGCAAAATACCTACAACAAAATAAATTACATTTTGAAAAAGACAAAAACTGATGAGGATAACTTGGTCAAAGAGAGGCCAGAGACTTAGAGGAAGGAAAAAACAAGGCAAAAGTCTACTTGATGTTAACAAAATAAACAAATGTTTCAAAACAGTATTCTACAGCATTTGAAAGCCAAATCTCTGGTGATCCTTGATGGCGAAGCAGTAGAATTTGGTGGGCGCAGCGAAAGTATGACACAGGGACTGGCCCTAACACTGCATGCACACCAGTACCTGATGTAATACTCACACCACGCGCCACTCATGTAGTCCGAAGAACATGCCTTGTCCAATGTAGACTTATTGCTTCTGGTGTGTGATACAGTGTTACAATAAAAGGAAAATAAGTACCATTACGTACAGTCAAACACTACTCTAACAATTTTTTAAAAAGTGGCTCAAGCTTGGAATTTTAAAATTGATTCATGCAAAATATTATACTATCTGGGAAAGTTTACTACTAGGTAGTTTCACATGTCTAAAAGTCAACTCTGAAAGGAAAGCTCTTGGTACAGTTTGGTAAAAAAAACATTTGATTCGGAAGCTTAAACTTAACCAATGAATGGTAAAACAACAGTGACCTCTTCAATAAAAATAAATTTTTATACTGATGAAAAATAGAAGAAAAAAAACAATGTAAATCCATAGGTATTTTCACATACATATTTCGAGAATGCCCCGTTTGTCCGACAAGTTATTTGTCCGACAGTCGTATCTAAGCAAATAAACAAAATAAATGAGGTATTACAACAACAGGGAAAGGGCTCGTTTCACTTGTCCGACAGCTGGAGTTGCGTTTCAAACTTTAATAGATACTAGAAAAAGGAGTTGCTGCAGTAGGGTTCAGTTTCTGGAACTACAATAAGTTGTAACAGTAAGTAGGAGTTATTACAATAACTTAGAGTTATTCAAATAACTTTCGATGGCGCGCCCAGCGCCGTTTCCGGGAGGCCGAGCCATGGCCCGGCCCCAGGCCCGAGCGCTGAGCCGAGTATAGCCGAAAGGCCTACCGGAAACGGCGCCGGGCGCGAAAGTTATTTGAATAACTCTAAGTTATTGTAATAACTCCTACTTACTGTTACAACTTATTGTAGTTCCAGAAACTGAACCCTACTGCAGCAACTCCTTTTTCTAGTATCTATTCAAGTTTGAAACGCAACTCCAGCTGTCGGACAAGTGAAACGAGCCCTTTTCCTGTTGTTGAAATACCTCACTTATTTAATTTATTTGCTTAGATACGACTGTCGGACAAATAACTTGTCGGACAAACGGGGCGTCCCCCATATTTCAAATTTTCAAACTAAAGATATTACATAAAAGAACATTTTCTGTAAGAATTATCAATTAAAAGAAGAAAAACAATACAGAAAATGTATATAAAAGTGAGACAAACACTCAAAAGCAAACAAGCTAAAGCTACCTAAAATTAAAATAAAAACAATGGCAATTAAACAAACTACCCAAGCAGAAATAAGTCAGCAGAAAGAAATGCTCAGTTGAGCTGATTACAGATAACTTCAGTTCAATTTTGAATAGAAAAATGAGTATGAAGTACTTTATGCATGAAAGGGGACCAGGTGAAAAATGACATGAACCATTAAGGTAACTCACACCAAATATGACATAGCACTTGCTCTACATTCTGCTATGTTCACATTAACTATTTTTAAAATTATAATTCTATGTTCTGAGTCATGTGATTCCTACTAGATGCTACAAAAGCTAGAAGACTAATTTTCAGAGCAGGGTTAAGCAAACAATAAATTTCTCTGTTTAAGCAAACAATAGTTTTCTACTCTGGGACAAGACAGTCATGCGGTTGTTCAGCGGGCGGGGGCAAGGAAGGAGAGGTGAGGACAAGGCAACCTCACGCGGAACCCTGAGGTACAAGTACAACTCACAGTTACCACATGAGATTACGCAGGCCTCACCACAAGCTGTAGGCTCAGCAGTTTCTCAATTGCTGGATGTGTAACTGGATGTTAGCACCATGGCAGTGAATAAACTACATGGTTATAGCAATATGCAGCAAGAAACAGAGGGGGTAAGAGCTGGAAAAAAGAGGCAAAAAGACAGGCACATAACTACAAACAAATTTAAAAAGGCAAAAGACAACTTTTTTGTTTCAAATGTGAGTTAAAGAATAATTGCTACAATGGAAAGAAGCATTAATTAGTTTGTAATTAAGTGCATAATACCAACAATATTCGCATAATTGTGACTACATGTGCAGAACAATCATATGATATAATCTTGCAATACCTACAGGATTTAGAAAAAAAAAAAATTAAATTATATCTTATATGCAAACTAGTTCAATTTACCTAATACCCTAGGGTAAAGCCACAAGCCATAGAGACAGATGTGTTGAGTTCATGCGAGGATTTAGCCGACTCCCTGTCTGATATCAACAAGCAACCTGGGCGATTTTTAACATGCAAACCCAGAATTACCAGCTGATATTTGACCTGAAGCCAGCATTGTGAAGAATCCAACTTGAAACTTGTGGTCCGCTGTACCTGTCTCTTTTAGATCCATGTGTTTGTAGATTGTAAGGAAAAATTTAGATATCTGGGTTAGCCAATGAAGAGCCGCAAAAGAAATTGTATTTGTTTTAAGGACTCCTAAAAGTTAGCCAGTAAAATTTTACCGCAACCACTAGTAATAGAATCTATGCACCAATGATAAATAAAATCATGCAATGAAACTGTGATTGACTGGGACTGTAAGTCTAAATGCAAGAACAACAATTTCAAAAATACCCCTAACTACAAATTAAAATTTGATAGAAATTCAAGATTTACACTAGTTGCTAGTTGAGCTGGCATAAGCAAAAGAAAATCTCATACTTACTTTGTTCCCTTAATGAGTTTATGGTCTCAGATTTCTTGTCAAGTTGTACTCCTAGTCTAGCAGCAGCACTCAAACCCTCCTTTGCTTCATTTAGCTGACCCTGAAAATAGAAAGGAATTCAGATTTTGATGAAAACAAATAACAAGGACTTTATAAATTTAATAACAACACACATTAAAACACACCTGGAGAAGTTTAATCTCTTGAGTCAGTTCATCATGTTTCTTATGAGCACTTTGAAGTTCGAGCCGTAGCTTCTCAGTAAGTGATTTCAAATCTTGCTCTTTCTCTGCAAAGCATTTGAAAAAAAAAAAACATTTATGTCCTGTTGATTTTCATTGCAATCTTCAGTACAAAAAAGTTCTATTACTGTACCTCTTTGGAATTGTTCGAGGACTGCTTGTAAATTTCTCAAAGCAGCAGCATGTTTCTGTTCCCGATCTTCAACAGCACTAAGTTTGGATTGAAGTTCATCTCTTTGCTGACCAATGAGTCGAGATTGACCTTGCAACGATTCTACATGCTGGTTTGCAAGGATACTATTGGGAAACAATTGAGATCCAAGTTGTATTTTGTTTTCTATTAAGTTCTATGTGTATCTTAAAATTGTAATCACTTTTACGTACCTGGCAGATGTGTGAGCAGTGGCAACATTTCTAAGTCTGCCTTCTGCCACATTAAGTTTCCCTTGCAAATCCTGAGCCTGTTCTTCTAAACGCAAAGCTTCTGCAGTGTAGGTCTCTTCTACCTCAACCATGTGAGCTCGCAAACGATCTAGTTCTCGGGTTAACATTGCTTCTTTCTCATGTTGCTCTTGCATCTAAGGAAAGAAGCCAAATTTAAATTTAAAAAGTTACTTAAACTAAAAGTTATTAAAAATTAAGTATATAAGGCAACCATATGAGATTTGAACTTTTTAGACGCGAGTCTCACCTCATTTTGCAGGTAAGCATTTTGACTCTTTTCTTCCTGTAGGCTTGCGGCAAGATTAGCACATTTAGCTTCCAATGCTAAAACTTCCTGATTTTTGTTTGTTGACGAAGTTACCTGTAAAAATTTAAGTTGTTGAGTTTTAGAACAGTTGTGAGCAAAAAGAAATTGTACCTTATAAATCTACTAAAATAAAATAATGTAGAAAACAAAATAAGAATTCAATCAGCTGATGGGAGTAAAACACTGAGATCTACCTTTGCACTGTCGTTGCCTTGATCACAAGTCTGGGCCAATTCTTGTTGGTTTTGTTCGAGCAAAGAATTCAGTCGAAGAATTTCTGCATGGTACCTTAAACTTTCATTGTGTTTAATCTGAAACATAAATAGATAATAAAGCAAAAAGAAAAATATCAAAGTAATATTAGAATTGTTTTAAATAGAGATTAGATTATTGGGGGGCTTACTTGAACTGTAGATATTAACTGATCCCTTTCTAACTGCAGTTGATTTAAATGTTGCAACAATTGAGCAGACTGTTCAGTAACAGCAGGTGACTGTTGGTTATCTGACTGATTTGACATGGCAGCCAGAAGCTTTTGGTTTTCTGAACGTAAAACACTATTATCACGAGTTTTCTCATTTAAAACAGATAGAATTTGTTCTTTTTCTTCTAGCATTGAATGTAGCTTTCGTTCTAAGGTTTCTATTGTACTGGAATTATTTTCATCTTGAGTTGCACTTGGTGAGGTGGATTGAAGTTGCTGTAGCTGATCCTGCAAATTTTTAACTTCTTGCTCTGACGCATGTTTTGCTATAATCATAGCTTCTATTTGCTCATTAAGACATAATTCATTTTCCAGTTTTTGTTGTAGTGATATTTCATATGTTTGTACTTTTTCTTGAGCCTCTTTGAGAGACAGTTTTGACTGATCCAGTTCATTCTCAATGGTTGATTTAGATGCACCCAAATCTTCCAAGTTCTTCTTTACTCTCTCATAATTGCTGGTCATTCTGGTCACCTGTTCCTCTAATGCTTGTTTTTCATGAAGGAAGTTTTGAGTATTATCATATTCTGAACTTGCTTTACAAGCCAAATCAGCAGATAGACTGTCACACTTCTGTTGAAGTGTCATAACATGTTCACATATACTTGCATTTTCAGATCCCAGTTCTGATAAAGATAATTCCAGATTTCTTTTCTGACTTTCAAGACTGTCAATCTTATGCAACAGCTCAGCAACTTCATTCTGATTGATTTCAGAGGCAGCTTTATCTTTAACCAAAAGTTCTTGCTTTAAAACGGCAACCTCATCCTGCAGGGCCATGATTGCAGCATTTGCATCATCTAGATTTTTGTTTGATTCATTCATGGCAGTCAAATTCTTCTTAAGTTGTGAAACTTCAGATTCTAAGGCAGTTTTTATTTGTGTAGCTTGTTCTAGCTGTGAACTAATGCAATCAGCTGCTGTTAAATTAGCTTTCAGTTCAGCAACCTCTGCAGCAAGTAATTCCTTAGCACGAATTGCATCTTGTCTCTCTTGTGTGACAGTATCAGCAATTGTTTTCCACTCTGAAACCTCAGCCTGTAGGCTATCTTGACCAAAGCGTGCCATTTCAGCTTCCTCTTTGAGCTGTAAATTTTCTTTCTGGAGATCCTCATGTGTATTCCGAATCTTTTCACACTGCTTCCGCCAGCGTTCCACATCTCTTTCTAAATTATCCTGTAAAAATTTAGAAAACATAAAATGAAATACTATGTACAATGAAATTACTCTTACCATATTCATAAAAATAAGATGAAACCTACTTGATTACGAAGCATGCTCTCTGATGACCTTAACCTGGAAGTTAACTCATGAAGTTCAGCTCGCAATCTCTTTGTTTCATGTTCTAGGTTGGAGCGTGCCTCTCTAAGGTTTTCAAGTTCGTTTTCTAACTTTTCTATGGTTTTACTGACTTCTTCATTAGCCTTATTTCCACCTTCAAGAAAATGTTGCTCATTGCTGTGTTCTGCATTGGAAGCAGCATCAAGTAATTCATCATCGCCTGCTTCTGATGTTTCAGGAATAGATGGGAGCATGCCCTTTTCAGGGGTGACATTCAAGCCATCTAGTAAAGACTCCATGTTTTCTCGAAGCATGACACACTCCTCCTCCAGCTTAACAACCTAAAGAGAAAGATTAGATCAAATTTATTGATAAAAATAGTAAAAACATTTAACAAACAACAAAATAAGGTTGTTGTACCTGTTTATCTCTGCTACTTAATTGGGCTGAGAGGTCTCTCAGCTGACGTGTGTACTCAACCAAATTTCTCTCCAAAGTGTCATTTTTCCACCTGAGGTCCACTGTCATTTTGACAAGGGCAGCAACCATGTCAAGTTGGGCTTCCAGTTCCTTTTCATTATCCCCATCTCTTACCGCAATATCCTTGAAGTATTCTTCTGGAATTTCCAAGCTGACAATATTTTTGAGCTTGTCAATCACGTACTTCTCGGTGGATGTCATGTCTGAACAGTTTGTTTCCGAAGTGTTCTGATCATCAACTCTCATCCTTTCAGAAAGCTCAGAGTTTGCAGAATCCAAATCACATTGTGCAGCGCCTAACTTTGTCTTCAAGGTTCCATTTTCAGATAACAAGGTACTATACTTCACTTCAAGAGATTCAAGATCCAATTGAATTGAATCAATTTTTCCAAGCAAATCATTGTTCTCTGATTGGAAGGAAGATAGTTTTGAGAGCAAATCATTGTTCTCTGATTGGAAGGAGGATAGTTTTGAGAGCAAATCATTGTTCTCTGATTGGAGGGAGGATAGTTTTGAGAGCAAATCTTCTTTTTCTGATTCTACAAGCTGGAACTGAGATTTCAAAGAGTCAAACCTGCCTGATATTTCCACACTCTCCATTTCTACTGACATCAAGTTGTCTCTCTCCTCCTTTACTTTTTTAAAATTTGATGAGAGGTTTTCATGCTCCAATTTTAAAGAGTCATATTTATCTTGAATCCCTTTCTTAATTTCCAAAAGTTGGTCTAAAGAGGAATTGAAATTGTACATTTGTTTAGATTAGGCCATGATTTATCTTGCTGAATATATTGAGGGTGATGTAGAAGAAGAAAATATACTTACTCAGTGTTTCTGTAGTTTGAGAGTCCAGTTCTTCCATATTTACACTCAGTTCAGCCTTCTCCTTTTCAGATTCAAAAAGTTTTGATTCTACAACCTTCAGTCTTTCCAGGGCATCCACCTATTTAAAAAAATTGTTTATTACAAATAAGGAAGCTGTGGGGAAAAAAGTTGTGTGTCTGCACTACAAAACCTAAAATACCTTTTCATTTTGAAGAAGTTCATTTTCTTTTTGTAGTTTTGCAATAGTGTTGTGAAGCTTGGTCTCATTTCCATTGGCAAAGTCAGGATCAGGGCTCTGCCAGTCCTACAAAACAAATAGAGTATTAAGAATTTTAGAATGACATACAGTATGATTTTAACAAGACTCAGGGTAAAAGACAAAAAAGAAATACCTGCAAAGCATTCAACTGCTTTTGAAGTTGCTCTATTGTACCTTCAAGGTTTGTCTTCTCCAATAACCAATCCTGTTTCATCTGAAAACATTTCAGAGTAAGAGTCATGGGACAACAGAAAAGTTACCAATAAAGAATTAAAAAAAATAATTTATAGTTTACTTGATAACACTTTTCCAATTCCTTTTTATGGAGTTCAACTTGGGCCTCCAAACTTTGCGATAGCTCTTGAGTGGCTTCCCACAGCTCAGTTAGCTGATGGGAGTAAAACACTGAGATCTACCTTTGCACTGTCGTTGCCTTGATCACAAGTCTGGGCCAATTCTTGTTGGTTTTGTTCGAGCAAAG